CGCAGAAGGATCGCCGGAGCCCAGCAGGTCGAGGCTGCGGTGGCCGGGAGCGGCCACTGCACTCCAGTCTGGGTGACAGAGTGAGACTCCAACTCAAAAAAAAAAAACAAAAAGAAATGAATGGATAAACGAAATATGGTCTATCAAATACAATGGAATATTATTCAGCCTTAAAAAGGAAGAAAATTCTGACACATGTTTCAACATGGATGTACCTTGAAAACACTATGCTTAGTAAAATAAACCAGTCTTGAAAAAGTCAAATACCATATACTTATATGAACTATCTAGAACAAATCAGGCACTGTGGCTCACGCCTGTAATTCCAGAACTTCGGGAGGTGGTGAGAGGATTGCCTGAGCCCAGGGGCTCAAGACCAACCTGGGCAACATGACGAGACCTCGTCTCTACAATAAATAAAAAAATCAGCCAGGTATGGTGGCACACACCTGTAGTTCCAGTTACTTGGAAGGCTGAGGCAGAAAGATTGCCTGAGCCTAGCAGGCCAAGGCTGAAGTAGCCATGATCGTGCCACTGCACTCCAGCCTGGGTGAGAGAGTGACACTCCTACTCAAAAAAAAAAAAGGATACCTACAGCCATCAAATTCATAAGAGACAGAAAGCAAAATGGTGGGGATTCAGGGGTTATGGGGAGAGGGGAATGGGGAGTTGGTTTAATGGGTATAGAGTTTCAGCTCAACAACATGAATGTACTTAATACTATTAAATTGAACACTTAAAAACAGTAAAGATGGTAAATTTTATGTTTTGTTTTACCACAATTAATAAAAATAAACTTTTAAAAATTGTTTCTCATTACACCACCTTTCTCTGCCAACATGTGTTAAGTTAGAAGTATGCCCCTCTGGGGAAATCATTCATGGAGAAAAATTTCTCAGCCAGCCAAGTAAAGGAGACAGGAATTGCAATGATTTAAGGTGAGTTTCAAAAGACCGAGGCATAAAATTTTCTATCCAGCTTATTTTCCCAATCCACCCTCTAAATCTTCAGGATTTAGCTGACAAATCTAAAGCCAGGTGTCCAGGCAGGTAAATGGCAGCACCAGGTGCAATACACAGTGAGGTAGCAATCAAATGGTTTTATGCCCCAGGCTCTTGTTGGCTGTTTTGTTCCCAGGTAACAGAAGCCCAGCAGAATGGAATCTGTACCTGTGCATGTTAAAGTGCTTTCTCTCCAGGTGCCTTTCTCTGTGCAAACAGAAGTGATCTTTCCTCCAGGGCTCTCAAAGCCCTCTTGACAGACATAGCAAGCCACACCGCCCAGCCGGGAGCTGTGATTCCCTACCAAGCTGGCATGCCGCACTTCTGGGGGGGTGCCACAGTCAATCTCTGCAATGGAAGCAACACATCACTTGTTATGACCCCCAACCACTAACCCCACAATTCATATTTTTAAAATAAACATTTAATAGTGATAGAGGCCGCTCATGTAGGAAAAGAGAAAACATTAGCCCAAGCAAATAATCCAACAGGGGTATGTAAAATAAAGTTTAAAAGTACAGAAAACAGGTTGAATTCAATGAAATTTCCAAACATGCATGCATAGAGAATAGTCAAATTATGAGATTGTTTACTTATAAAGAATACTTTTGTCTATGAAATAATATGTTTTATGGTTCCTTTGAATATGAAAATTTGGCTAGGAGTGGTGGCTCACACCTATAATCCCAGCACTTTGGGAGGCTGAGGCAGGAGAATCACTTAAACCCAGGAGTTGGAGACCAGCCTGGACAACATGGCAAGACCTCACCTCTACAAAAAATACAAAAATTAGCTGGGTGTGGTGGCGCATACATACACTGTACTATGTTTCTTGAGTTCATCAACTCCTGAGTAGATGACAATGCAATTGTAGCAAATATTGTCCACTGAATATTAAAATATATACAAAATCTCCATTTTTTTTTTTTTAAGAGACAGGATTTAGCTTTATCACCCAGGCTGGAGTGCAGTGGCATGATCATAGCTCACTGTAACCTTGAACTTCTGGGCTCAAAAGATCCTCTGCCTCAGCCTCCTGAGTAGCTGGAAATTACAGGAGCATACCATCACACTCAGCTAATTTTTTTTATTTTTTGTATAGACAGAGTGTCACTATGTTGACCAGGCTGGCCTCAATCAATCCTTCCACCTTGGCCTCCCAAAGTGCTGGGATTACAGGCATGAGCCACTGTGCCTGGGTCTCTGAAATTGTTAATGCAAGTTAATGGAAAATGTATTTATCTTCCAAACATTCAATTTATATACACCTTAAAAAAAAATCAGCTTCAGCCAGGCACAGTGGCTCAAGCCTCTAATTCCAGCAATTTGGGAACCCATGGGCTCAGGCAATCCTCTCGCCTCGACCTCCCAAAGTGCTGGGATTACAGGCTGAGCCACCAAGTCCAGCCCACATGCGTATCTTTTATGGAAGAAAAAAAAAGGGTAAAAAATAATTCCAGTTCAACAAAAAAGTAAGCCAGAAGAAATATCCTAAGAAAAAGTGTGCAGGACAGACAGGTTTTTAGAAGAGACACTAATGAGCAATGAAATTGGCAAGAAGTATGAATAAACCTCCATAATCATTTAAATGTGAATGTAGAGCTTGACATAACTATTAGTAAAGGATTCTGGAACTGAAAACTGAATAATATTTAAAAAAAAAACAATTTAAAAATAAAATTCCAAATTACTTCAATAAAACCAGAGCGGCAGCTGGGCTTGGTGGCTCAGCCTGTAATCCCGCGCCTTTGGGAGGCTGAGGTGAGTGAATTGCCTGAGCCCGCGGGTTCGAGACCCGCCTGGGCAGCGAGACCTCATCTCTACAATAAATCAAAAAATCAGCCGGGCGTGGAAGCGAATGTCTGTAATTCCAGCTACTTGGAAGGCTGAGGCGGAAGGATCACCAGAGCCCAGCAGGTCGAGGCTGCAGTGGCTGGGAGCGGCCACTGCACTCCAGTCTGAGCAACAGAGTGAGACTCCAACGAAAAAAAAAAAAAAAAAAAAACCAGAGCGGCGAGTTGAAGGGAAGAGGTAAAGCATCCTAAATGTTTCATGTTACACAATAGCAGGAGTGCATAGATACAATGTTATTCAAGAAAATATAATAAATATAGAATAAGATGGCTGTAATAATTCCAAACATAATCAATAGACCCACTTAAATACAGAAAGAAAAAAATTTGACATTTATTCTGATTTTTAGTTTTCTCCTATCTGTGGAAAGCAAAGAAAATTAAGCACTCTTGATATCCAGGTTTTTAAAACAGAAGTCCATTTATTGTGAGACGGTATTCAAAATACAGAAAATGGTATAATCTGTTCCCATCTCCCATCAACCATTCTTGGCCTTAGAAATAGATGGTTGCTCTTAAATGAGCCTCTAACACAGAATTACTAGATTTTATGGAACTGAACTCTTTTCCATCCCATTATGGATACTTGATCTGTTGCAGGACCCCAGAGTTATTTACAGGGGAAGGAAGGCTTTCCAGAGCAGGGTCTCATCCATTGTCCTTGGAGTTATCCTAGATCCCTTAATACATCAGCTCAAACCACCTGACTAGTCTTTTGACTCTGAGAGTTAGCCTCTGGTCAATACTGACTCAAGTCATGAGCAGTTATAGGACCAGAACAAGGTTTGATTTCACAATTCTCCAATCTTGTCTACCTTTTATGGCTCATGTTTGCCCACAGGGATTTGTTCCCTTTTCATACATGTTTACCAGATACAAAACCCTTTGGCTTTCAACATGTTTTCCCAACACCAAACCTTTAGACATATTTACTGGCCCAAGGCATTTCAAGACATAATATATTTGCGTGAACACCAGCAACCAACCAAACAGTGGCTAATGTTTCATAAGACTGGCCAGTCATTGTTGACATCTAAAACATCTTCTGGTTTAAGCCGGGGCACAGTTACAGAAGGAAGTAGAAGGAACATCAGCAAAGAGGTTGAAGGTATAGGTTTATGTAGGTTTGTGTACCTAGAAGCTGGAATTCTAAAGAGCTCAGTAAAGAGGTTTGGAAGGGAATCCTGCAACAGGTAGTTAAATTAGGGGAGAAGCACAGATACAAAAGGGATAAGAGTATAGGATAAGATTGATAACTAGATTGGCTTCCTTTTTGGATATGACCAAAAATAATGGAAGGCATAATGACTTTAGTTGGGATTATAAGATTTTTTTTTTTTTAATTAATACCAAACTCACTTGATTGATGAGGGCTCGATGACTTGGTCTCTGGGGATTAAGGTTCAGAGGCTCAGGTAGACGCCCCCATGGTAGGCAGCCTAGACCTATGGCTCTTGAGTTCCCATGACAGAGCTATTCAAGTTGGACAGTTCTTTGGCAAGAGATGTTTAGAGAGCATTCCAGCATAGCTTGGATTACATACATGGTTCTAAACAACGGCCATACATTTAAATCCCCTAGGGAGCTTTTGAAAACATAATTGCGGGAATCTCATCCCCACCCCACCCAGAGATAACTCTTCTTTTTTTTTTTTTTTTT